AGTAAACGTCGAGTTCGTACGTACGAAATGGGAAAGTAATTAACAGAAAACGAATTTCTGATTTCAGATGACACGGGCCTGTTTCACGCGAAATACGCGAAGTTTGCGTTCGAGAACTTTCCCGAGTTGGCCTTGATTTCCATAAGCATGAAGAAACACGTATGTAGCTGCGGCAAAGTGTATAATCAAAAGAGTTCTCTCGATCGGCATCAACGATACGAGTGTGGGAAAATGCCGAACGTGCCGTGCCTGCAGTGCGGGAAAATGTTCAAATACAAGCATCACGTGACACAGCACTTGAAAAGCTGCCGCATCAGAGATTTAAGAAACCAGAACTTCCCCAATTAACACGCATAATTCTCGCGTTTAAAGCGACTGTCACTTTCTGTAATTTATTCATCGAAGGCATCCCTGTTTATTTGTTTAACGAAATAAATAACGAAGTTTCAACAATGAAAATCAAGCTAAGTTCCTTCAGGTTAAGTGCCTTCGATTTGTTTCAGATAGTCCTTAGACTGATATTTGAAAAACAGAAGGAAACACGTTCCTTAGATTGACATTTAGAAACAAAAGAAAGACAGCACTCTTGACAAATAGTCTGTAACATCCTTCGACAAATAGTTGAGCCATTTTGACCATTCTTTAGAGATTAACTCTTATTGTTAGATTCATGCTCGCCATTCATTTACGCGATTATCTTTAATCTGATTAACGCTTCCATTACCCTTTGCTTGCATGATTTTGCAGAATCGATGTGGCTACGACGGGATCATCGACGGCAACGATTGGGAACGCGTCAGGGAATGGAAGACCAGTTTAACGAAACGAGATTTTTCTGCGAGACTTGTGGTAAATCCTACAAATGGAAGGAATCCCTGTTTAAACACAAGCGCGTAGAATGCGGGAAACTGCCACAATTTATTTGCAAAGTTTGTGGATACCGATTTATGCATAAACATCATTTGGTTAAACATTTGACTTCTATTCATCGAATCGCTCCTTTAAATGGCACAGCCATGCTAGTTTTTCAATAAAGGAAATTCAATGTTTTTACTTATGGAACATGCTTGTAATATTATAAATAATGTAATATTATAAAATAAAATTTTATGATGCCCCAACGTAACATGCTGCTTTACAAAGATTCGATTAAGATCAAGTTTCAAAAGGTTTCACGAAACGATTCTTTTAATTTCTACTAACTTTTTTTCAGGTTGGACCATACACACGATGTTATGTCTCTCTCGAGTGACGCGAACGCCGGAGAACGAACATGTAGAACTGCAATTCCGTTAGATTCATCACTTGTTGTTAGTGAAAGTTTATTGTGATTAATCGAAGAAATATAAAACTTATCGTCGTATCGCTTAAAATAGATTTTACAATAACGGTTGTAACAGTATCGTTACTTATTCTTTTTTTTTTTTTTTTTTTTTTTCTATTGCAGAATATCTTTATTTCTTTTCTCTATTACAGAACGCAAAATAGAAGAGAAATCGAAGATTGAGAAAGCATGATCACCAAATTGAAAATGCCACTCCTACGGAAGATCTTACATCTGAGAAGATGCGTTGCGGAAAGAATCCTTCATACATCTTTATATCTACGTGAAGAAGACTTTAAACACAGAAGTCGAATCTCCAATGGAAAACAGTGTGAATTTATTTGTTGTTTTAAAATATGAAACGAAACATATAAAATCAAATGAAAATTATGTTTTTGTTTTTTAAGAACATTTCTACAGTGAGACTCTACCCTTGTCGTTTAGTTTTCTTGAAATTCATAAATTTGAATTTTATCCGCGCGTCTGTCGTCGTTTGACCGCGCTCTGAATAATAAAACTTCTGGAACAGTGGAAAACGCATATTTGTCATAGCCGATAATTTACTATTCACTTCATACCTGATCATTACTCGAGAATGCACAACCACTGAAGATCAGGACTAATCTTTGTATCTTACTTTTGAATAAGGCGCACTTACGCAGCTTGGGTCAATTGAACTGTTATTTAAAATAACTCGTCACATGTTGGTTGCATTGAAAAATATTTTAAATGAATTATGTTGCATTTGAAAACACGCATCAGACAGATGTAGTTGGACTCTTTTACAGTTTATATTTTTTAAGATATCAAGGTGACCTTGAACTTTTTTCAAGCGAAGCTAATTTTTTTTAAAAATAATATAACTGATAAAAAGACAGATCAACGACTTACATAATAAGTTTGAATCTAAATATGAATGTGATTGTATTACTGTTTAATATTTTCGTTTAGAGTATATATGTTTAACATTTACTTTTTACGCTGTTGCATACCTTCTGTAATAGTTGATATATTTTGATAAACCTGGAGTATGATTCAACAGAAAATAGAGTCTAATGGATTTAGACTTAGCCAATCAACTCATTCATTTCGACTAATCCGAAATATTTTGTAACGACAGATAATGTGTCCCTCAATTTCACATATTAAAGGTTCCATCTAGAAACATGAACAAATTATACTTCAGTGCCACATCAAACGTTTACATTGTACTGGCGTTAGTGTTCAATGCCAATGCAAATTTTCAGTAGGTTAATAATAAATTACATTTATATACACTTATATATGGCTCGTGAAAGTCGATTCATCGCTAAATAATTTTATTCTTGGTGTAGCAACATGTGATGCAGATGAAAATAGTTCGTAGCATAATATGCAGATTACACCAATGTGGTAACGTTTACAGTGAAATTTTTCGAAAATTTATGTGAAGATTAATAGCAACGTAGTTCGAGATCAGTCTCTGCATTTCATTTGTTTGAGCACGAACTCAGTAATTTTATCTGTTTCTTTCAATGTTTTAAGTAAATCTTTAAAAATACACGCGCAATGATGGAAACATTTTCTAGTCGTGAACATATACATTTTCAGACATTCGTTGTAAGTCACTATTATTACTACGTTCATATATATTTTCATTTTCATATATTATATTACTAATTTATGAGCAATAAACTCGGGTTGCTGTGACTAAGTAAATGTAACATTTATGTTGCAAACTCAAGGGCTAATCACCACTCTAATTTAGACATTGTGATTCTTAAATGCATGTCCATATTTTAAATTTTAAGTAAATCTATACATTAAAATACGTAAACAATGTTATATAAACCTAGATTCCCTACACCTTACTGACATAGATAGTTGAAGAAAATGTTCAATGTGTTTGCCTTATATTACAATACAATTGAATTCTACATTAACTCAAAAATACTAAATATTTTTCGAATAATTTGAAATCTATTCTGAATTATTTTTTGCAGTATTACACAACAGACTTTAAATTGCGTCGAAAATAAAATTTTAATAGGGCTTGAGCTTTATTTAATTCGTGTCGATGGATATTTTTTGTAAACATCAGATAAGATTTTAACACACTACGATATATAGTATTTACTGGAGGTACAAGATGGATACATTGAACATTTTTTTCAATCATCTATAACTCGAAAAACTAAGGTATGAATTTATATGACATTTTTTTACTAATTTTAATAGTATTAAACTGGGCATTTAAGAATCGTTCTATATGTATTCTTCATTTTCTACGCATTGACTTTGGGGGAAATTTGAATTTTAACAAATAAGTGATATAATTGCATTCGATGTTCTGTCTGGATTTGAGGCTTAAGCTCATACTTATTATAGAAATTGTCGAATTCATCTTTTTGTCAGCTATTAAAAGAAACGTATTGAGCTTAGAAAAACTGAAGATCACCTTGATACCTTAAAAAAGTAAATTACACCTGTCTGACGAATCGCTTTAAACATAACATAAATTCATTTAAAATCATTTTCAATGCAATCAATAACGAGTTATTTTAGATAATAATTTTTACCCTGTGTATTTTTAATATTCGAAATGTATCAATAATTTGTTCATCCCTCAAGTGACACAATTATTTATTTGAAAACACGTATGTAAATTTGTATACAAAGTGATTATCTGGCTAGTTGACTAAAAGATAGTTCCACCACTCACACACGTTTGCTTCACACACACAATCGTCCCCGTTCTAATACAGTTCGTTTCATAATAAATCACACATCGTAGCAATCTTTATCGTTGTGGTGGTATTCTCTGGGAATCAACTAGTCTGTTATATCAAAGCACGCATATGGGTAACTTAGCAAATAACTAAGGAAACAAAAAATAAGAGAGGAGAGAGAAAGAGAATGAAAGAGAGAGAGAGAGAGA